TCTGCCTCATTCCAGATGGACTTGCATTCAGATTTGAGCTCCAGTCGTCTGGTTCCAAAGTCCAAGCTCTTTTTCTGACACTAGACTGACGCTGAGTGTCTGAGAGCTGGCCGTGTGACAAACCAGGCAGGGAAAGGAAGCCAGAGCACAGCAGAGTCAGCACTGAGGGGAGGGAGGCTGTGATTTCTCAAGTGCTGCTAGCTGGGCCCAGCACTAGACTACCGAAGCATCCTGGTGGATACAAACATGTATTCCACACCTATTTACTCTGCCCCTACTGTGTGAATAAAAAAAATCCCCACCACACAAAGATCCCTCCCTCCCTGGGGTTTGTGAATTGGGAAGATGATTATAATCTTGGTCAAAAAAAGCCTTGGGGAGATGGGGATATAATTTCCTGGTAGAACACTTGCCTAGCATGTAGCAGGTTCTTGGTTCAATCCTCCATGCTGGGGGAAAAAAGTGCTTTGTAAGGGGCAAAAAAGAAAAATATGGGGCCGGGGATTTAGCTCAGAGGTTCCACTGCCTGCCTTGCAAGTGCAGAGTCCCAAGTTTGATCCCCGGTACCAAAAAAAAAAGAAAAGAAAAATATGTCCTCTGGGTGGTGGGGAGCCAGAGAAAACATTTTACATGAGGGACTGTGGATCTGAGGTTCAATTAGGCCCATCTGTGAAATGGAGCCATTAACAAGTTTTACTATAGAGAGGGCCATGAGAAGATGGGAGCAGACCTTACCTTCGAAGTACTTAATGGGGAACCTAGCACATAAGGGGGCCCACTCCCTCCTCTAATAAATATTATTTATTTTGTAACAAACAAAATTTTCTTTGAAGGCCTCCCATTGCGTATAGGATAAAGTCCATTTTTTTTTTTTAAGGCCTGGCACATGGGAGGCAAAGCCCTCTACCACTGAGTTACAGCCCCAGGCCAAAGTCTAAATTTTTTTTTTTTTTTTGGTACTGGGGATCGAACTCAGGACCTTGTGCTTTCGAGGCAGGCGGCGGAACCACTGAGCTAAATCCCCGGCCCTAAAGTATAAAATTTTTGATGTGCTCTTTGAGGCCCTGCCCGATATATCTGGGGCTTTCTCCAGCCTCAGCCTTTCTGTTGTCCCTGCTCCCTCTGTGCAAGGCTGTGTTCTCCTTCCTGCTTCACAGTCTTACACAGAGGAACAGGGAGAACAGTCTTCTCCTATTCTATGCCCTCTGCCTTCTTTCTCCTTGCCATCCTTTGGTGATCATTTATCTTTCAGGTCCAAGGTAAACCGTACTCTCTCATGGCTCCTTGTGCATTTTATTTTTCCAGGGCTTCTCACCAGTATTTGTGTCATGTCCACTCTACTGAATTTTACAGCCCATGTTTTATTGACAGGTGTACTGCTAGCTTCCTAGCAGCATCTGGACAAAGTAAGAACTTCACAGTGTCAATATTAACAAAGAAAAAAAGTTTTTTTTAAATTTTAATGTTTGTTTGTTTGTTGAGATAGGGTCTCACTATGTGGCTCTGGCTGGCCTCTAACTTGTGACGCTTTTCCTGCCTACCAGAGTGCTGGGATTACAGGTGTGTGCCACCATCCCTGGCCAAAAAAAAGATTCTTGACATGTGACTTTGGACACTCAAAAATGAGACATGCCACCAGGTGTGTTGGCACACACCTGTAATCTCAGCACTCTGGGAGGCTGAGGCAGGAGGATGGTAAATTTGAGCCCAACTTGGAAAACTTAATAAGACTCTGTAAAAAAAAAGTAAAAAGGGCTTACTGTGTAGCTAGGTATGAAGGCCCTAGATTCAGTCTCCAAGAATTCAAAGGAAAAAACCAAAAAAACAGTGAGAGACAGATGCTCGCTCAACTCCTTCTGTCCCACTCCAACAGGAACCAGAGGTGATTTGTACATGGGAGAAAAAAAATTTCTGCTGCTGCATATTTTTCTGCTGGAATGTTTTAAGAACCATGGGGCATTACACAGAGGTCAGTGAGAGAAGATGAAAAAAAGATGGAACACTGTGGCACTATACTTAAGTTCTCCCTGGAGAGGGGAAGTGCTTTGCCCACGGTCTCCAGCCGCAGCATCAAGATTCTGGTCACTGCTATTGTTGCCTCCAGGCTCGGGAAGAGGAAGTCAGAGGAGGAAGGTATAGAACTCTGTCACTGGATATTGACACAGGTGCCAGAGAGCTGACCATCAGAAGGTTCAGGCTTGTGAGATCTCAAGCAAGTCATTGCCTGTCTGTCTTGTCTTTATTTTCATCATCTGTAATAAAAGAGGATGTGAGAACCAGCGATTTAACTCAGTGGCACCGCACCTGATGCTCAAGTGCAATGTCCTGAGTTGGATCCCTGGTACCAAAAAAAAAAAAAAAAAGAGCGTGTGAGATCAAGTACCCTGGTAAGCAGATTCTGAGATGGAAACTTGCATCCAGGAGGATTATTGAGGAAATATCATAAATGGTTTGAAACGGGACTGGACCAAAGGAGAATTTGGGCTACAATACAGCTGCAGTGGAGGGTTCAGCTGATCTGAAGTGGGGTGCTAGAACCAGGATTGATCTTTTAGGGTCATTTCAAAAGGAGGCAAAGGGGTTGGGCCTCTGGACCCTTCTTTTCTGCCAACCAGCCATTGGAGGCAGACTTCGTGGAGGAGGCGAAACCATGAACTGAGCTGCTGCCTTCAATGCAGGGCAGTCCCCAAAGAGGGACTCAGCTGAAATCTGAGGAATGAGTGCCACAGCCTGGGTGGCACAGCACAGCACCTGCTCCAAGTGCCTTCCTTGGTGGGAAACTGCTCTTCTTGGTTGTGTTATAGCTTCTCTGGAGAGAAAACTCCACCACTAGGCTGTAAACATCCTGGGAGCACTTCACATTTTTCCTTAGGTGTCCACCACAACAGTAATGTAAATCATTAGTTGAGTAATGATCCACTATCTGTCCCTTGCACTTGACAGTAAATCCCAAGAGAGCAGGAACCAAGCCTGTCTCCCTTATCTCTGTCTCCAGGGCATGTTACATATTAGGTACACAACATCTGTTGAGTAAAAGAACACCAGGGAGGCTGTAAAAGATGGTCCTCTAAGAGATTCTAAGAAAAAAAAAGGGTTTGTGAACCACTACTCCAAATCCACCTGCCTAAGGGCTCTGGTGAAGGCCTGGAGCCTGCAGGGATGACTCACCCAGCTCTTTTCTACTGTCAGCAGCACTCAAAAGCTGAACAAAAAAGTCAGGTCCCTAGCAACCCTCTCAAACTCCATCCTGCATCATTGTGTCCAGGTCCTGGATTGCAGACTGCAGGAGTCTAAAACAGAATCATTAGATCCTATCTGAGCTGGAGAATTTTCAATTCCATGTGCAAATTGAATTCAACATGATTTTAAAAAGCAGATTGAGGGCGTAGGCAGTCTGCAGGTAAATGCTACACAATACAAAGAACTCCGAAATCAGAGAGGGGTTCTAATTCAAGCTTCAGGCTTGATTTTGGGCAAATTTCTGAATGTTCAAGGCCTCTCTAGAGTGAAGTTCCAACTACTTAAATTGTGTTGGGTGGCTTTCATGCATTATTTAATCCTCACACCCTTCCTTTGACCCATGAGGAACTAAGGCTAGGCTGTGGATGTAGCTCAGTGGCGCCGAGCCTGCCTAGCAAGAACAAGGTCCTGAGTTCAATCCCCAGTTCTCCCCCCCACCAAAAAAAAAAGAAAGAAGAAAAAAGAAAAAAATAAACTAAGACTAGAGAATTTAAGTAGCTTGCTCAGTAGTCAGATGTTAAATGTCAAACTAGAATGTGAACTGAGATCTGTCTGACTGCTAAGTTAATAGTCCCTAGATTCTCACTTGTGGCTCCATTTCCACATCTGTAAAATGGGAACAACACCCCTTTCTCAAAAGGCTATTGTGAAGATTAAATTTGAAAACATTTGCCAACAGCTACCTTTCTAGAAATGTTACCTGAAATAGAAATGAAAATGTTTTATCCCTAGTTTTATGGTTGAAGAAACTTAAGGTACAGTGAAAATAATCATTCCCCCAGGGTAATAAGTGGCTAAGTCAGGGCCAGAATCCAATTTTTTTTTTTTTGGTTCCAGGGATCAAACTCAGGACCTTGTGCTTGGGAGGCAGGTGCGGCGCCACTGAGCCAAATCTCCAGCCAGAATTCAAGTTTTGTACTGCAGCTTTGGTTCACTTTTTCTTACACCCTCTCAGATGATCTAGAAGTAAAAGCAAACACACAGGAACACTGCAAAATAGGAGAGGTCCCTCAAGGGAAAAGCTACATGCAGTCACTCACAGGCTTTCTGAAGGAGAGCGTTTTCAGTTTATGCTGGCAGTATTCAGAGCAAATGGGAAGCCAGCAGGACAGGTCTTATCTTTTAGTCCTGAGTTCACTAGTGCCTAGTGTCCAGATTAGTTAAGAAATGTGATCAAGGTCACACAACCATAAATGGCAAGGGCACAATTTGCATCTGATTCCTTATGCCTGGAAAGGGATGGATGAAGTCATCATAATGTGATGGAGTGGGGGACACAAAAGGAAACCCCCGGCTGTCAAACTGCCTCCCTCTCATGAGAGAAGTTCAGTAGAAGGAAAAACGGTCAGGTGTGATGTCAAAGCCTCAGGGTCAAACAGACCTCAGCTGGAATCCTGGCTCCACCAATGACCTGCAATGTCATTTCACCTATGTCTTAACTCTCTGGCAGAATTACTGCAGATTTACAGAAATGGCCTTCAGGTACCCAGCCCAGAGTCAGGCTTTGTCAGAATAACATGGTCCTTATTACTCCACAATGCCAGACCAGCCATAGATGGGTGGCAGTGCTGGACACCCAAGGGGCAGAAGCACATTTTCCATGCCAATAATTCCAACCCTGCAATCACTAGGCACAAGCACCTGGCAGGGCAGTGGCTGTCAGGTCCAGTCCATGATGCAATCACAGCAGTTCCCTGCTTGTGCTATGAGGTGAACCCTGACCTTCAGGAAATTAGAAAAAAAAGCCCATTAACAAGGAATACAAAACAAAAACCTCAGTGAACTTTTATTTCTCATCATACACAACAGGTAGCAAGGTCAAAGGTTTCAGCACTTGAACACTGGATATCCCTTCCCACCCACCCAGGGGACATATACACAGCCATTATGTTCCCTCTGGAACTCAAACCCCCATGCTGGGACCCCTCCCCTCCTGCCCATCTTCTTTGCAGGGAGGACTTTTAGGCCTGGGGGTGGTGCCAGTCGCTTCCCCATGCCCGCATGGGTATGAAATGTGGCAAGTGGCCGAGTTCCTTTCCTGCCCCCCAGGGGGAGGAAGGTCAGAAACAGCAGCATTGTGCTCTTGCCTTTCCCAGGCACCTCCAAACTGGCCTGGGAGGATGCACCTGCTGCTGGAAGGGCAAGAGAAGTCTCGATTCACAGTTGTTTGCTACAGAAAGTGCTTGGGATCAGTCCTTAGCCAGTTCTGTCTCCCAAGCAATCCACCTAAATTTCAGGAGAGGAGACAGATACTAGGACAGGGGGAAGGTTCTTGGAAAAGAGTCAGGAGCTTGACTGCCGGAGGGGGGTGGTCCCTAGAGGCCTTCAGGATCTTGCAAGAAAATCAGTTTGCTGTAGACTTCAGATCCCAGGCCAAAGCATCAGATGCAGGGAAACTCAAGCCTCAAACCTAACCCTGAGTCTGCAACTGTGGTGGTCAAGGGGCTCTGGTAATGTGGTCACAGCCACTTAATTAGTGGCAGGGCCCAAACAGGAACCCTGGTATTAGCTTCCCTTACTGGGCCCTGGTGCAATGTCAGCTACCTAGAAAGGCCCAACTTTTTGGCAAAAGTCCTTGGCAGAGCCCCTGGGGACAGGAGGGTAGGAACCAGCCTCCGGAGCCTGGGGAGAACAGAACTTCTCTCTGCTCCTCACAGGCACCGACTGTGTTCCAAAGGTGAGGCCCTGAGGAGGTCTGATCTCAACCACAAAGGACCTAAGTACAGACAATTTATCTCTGAATACTCTCTCCTCCTCAGAAGGCAAAGGACCCAACAGAGGCTCCTCCTCTCTAAGGACAGTGTTCTTTGGATGTGTTTGGCCCCTCTCCTGGGGTCTCACACCACAGGGTGTGGGAGAAAGGTTTATGGAGCGGAGAGGTAAAAGAACTGAAGTAGGGTTTGGGCAACCAGGGAACAGGGGGCCTTCAGGCTGCCCAACAGAAAAGGCTTTTGATAGAGTGGCGCACAGACCAGCTGTGACCCTGACTTTCACATTGATGGGTGAACGGCAGGTGGGAGGTAATGAAACATGAGAATAAAGTGGGGAGGGAAGGCAAAGCTGCCTGGAGTGTTAGTCCCTGGAGATCTTTGTCCCTCTCCCACAGAGGCCAGACAGGGACTTTCCAGTCCAGGAAGGCCACAGCACTCCAGGTGCCTGGGGCCCAGCCTCTTGGCCTGTCAGTCCAAGTGTGGGCCATTTCCCTTCCTGTGCCCTCTGCTCTGGGGTCAGGGGAAGGAGGAAGGGCATGGCCCTTGGGATTTCCTAGTCCTCTTCCAGGTCCCATGGGGAGAGCTGAGATCCCAGAGTCAGTGCAACGATTCTGTCCATTCCTGCAAGAACAGGAGGGCGTGGCTTTGGGGCTGCACATCACACAAGCCCACCCCCATGGTGGGGTGCATGGGCATGGGGCAGAAAGGGTCCTGGGTCTGTATCCAGACAGAGAAGTCCTTGCAGGGAGGAGGGTCCCCCCAGGGTCAGCTGCTCCGGGTGTGGGTCCTGGGTGGGAGGGAGTCAGGTCATGTAGCGGGTGATGGCGCGGAGAGCGTAGAGCAAGGCAGCTTGCATGCGGGCCTCCAGGAGCAGCAAGTTCACATGGACCTGGGACACAGACTGGGGCTGGTTGACAAGTGATCTGCATCCCTCCCAGATTGCTACTACCCCTGACCCCTTGGCTCACCCTTCCTGTTCCCACAGAGACACCCTGACCTTTGCTGAGCAGTTTGGCACAATGAATGCTGAAGAATTCCCAGTACATTCTTCCCCAGTGTGCCTCATCTTTCCATCCCACAGAGCTAAAGCAACAGTGAGCACTACCCGGCACCTACCCAGGACCAGGGGTTTACGTGTATTTTCAGATTTCATCCTTCCAACAACCTTGAAATGCAGGCAGTGTTTACTCTTACTAGAAAGTGGAAAAGCTCAGAGAAGCAAAGTGACTTGCCCAAAGTCACAAGGCTACCACAGGGTGGTGTTACAGTATGACCCTTGGTCCACAAGGCTGCCACTGAAGACATTGTGAGAAGCAAGGATGCACATTCCCACTTCCCAGGTGAGTAAATGGATTCTCAAATCACACAGTAGAATGGGACTTGAACTTAGGACAACGGGTCCAGGTGTCCACCCTGGCAAGACAGACTCTGGGTCTTGGCCCCTTTCCTGTCTACTAGCTGAGCCTATCTACTTCCATCCCGCTCCTCCCTCTGAGGGTGCTACCTTCTCTGAGTGGCGGAAGTGCCTCCAGAAGAGGTTGTACATTCTCCGGGTGGTCTTCTCTGGATAGCAGGCCACAGTCTTGATATAGACCTTGAGGTTCCGCTCCAGGAGCTGGTTCACCTCCCCATAATCATAGTCATCATATCTGGATAAAAAGACCCCAACGGCATTACTCACCCTCTGCTCCCAGAAGCAGCTCCTTTCCCCTTCCCTCCCCCCACAGAAGCAGGAACAGAAAAGCAAGAAAAGCCAGAAGGTAGGAAGCAATAAGAAGCCTGGTTCCTCTTAGAAAAACAGCTGGTATCACGTATCCCAGGCCAGCAGACTTGCAGGAGACCACTCCAAGGATGCCAGGGAATGGACCACTACCAATTATATGGATGTGTCCTTGTGGAAACCTCAAACTCCTCTGTACCCTGGGTACAGACGTAGCTCTACACCCCATACACCACACTCATCAACCCACTTTACAGATAAGGGAACTGAAATTCTGAAAGTGAAGTCACTTGCCCTAGGTCAGACAGCAAAGAATGGGTTTCTTTTCTTTTCTTTTTTTTTGGTACTGGGGATCGAACTGAGGTCCTTGCACTTGCGCAGCAGGTGGCGAAAACCACTGAGCTAAAGCCCCGGCCTAAGAATGGGTTTCAAACCCAAGTCTGCCTGGCTTCAAGACTTGTTTGGTACTTTACGCTAAAGGAGGTCACAGTGTCTGTTTGCCTTGGAGAAGCCGGTTAAAGGCAAAAAGGAGGGGCAACCCACTTTTGGGTCCCCCTTCTGTCTTTCTTAGGCAGAAGCTTTCTTTCTCTCAATAAACTCTTCCCACTCTTAAAAAAAAAAAAAAAAGGCAAAATGGAGCTAGTACTGTAGTCAGTTTATGGATGGGCAAACAAAGGCCTGGAGAAGATAATTAACTTGTTTAAGGTCAAAAAGCCAACTGACGACCAGTCTAGAAGCTTCTTTGTTACTCTGGTCTGGTGAGCTTCACAGACATCTTCGTAGATGGGGGAATGGCAAAGCCTGGGTAGAAAGTGGAGGACACATCAACATGGCACATAATTGGTAGTGGGACAGCAGGGGATGGAGGAAGGGCATGGAAAGGACTAGGTAGGGAAGTGAAGAAGCCTATACTTAGGAACTAGCCTGGAACACACTCTCAGATGCTACTTTGCCACCCTGAGTTGGAACCCTATAATTACCACTGGTGCTTGGTATGAACTGTTAAGAAAAATATCATGTTCATTAACCCCACTTATGTTTTTATTTTTTTATGGTGCCGGGGTTTGAGCTTAGAACCTTGCCCTTGCAAGGCAGGCATGGCGCCACTGAGCTAAATCCCAGGCCCCCTCACTTGTTTTTAATAAAATAAGTGACATGAGCAGGCATAAAAATGGCAACAGATCTTTTCTGTAAAATTATGTATGCTTTGGCTATTTGTGCATAGTCAAAGACAGGAAGCAAATACCTGACAACAGTAAGTGCAGGTGATGTCATGGATGATTTCTTTCTTTCTTTCTTTCTTTCTTTCTTTCTTTCTTTCTTTCTTTCTTTCTTTCTTTCTTTCTTCCTTTCTTTTTGTTTTTTATACTAGGCAAGTACTCTACCACCTAACTGTATATGCCCAATCCTCTGGATAGCTTTTCCATTTTTACTGTCTTTTTTGTGCTATCTATGTTCTCTTTCTCCCTTCTCCCTCCCTCTCTGTATTTATTGCTAGAAGCTGGAGGTTCAATCCAGGTCCCCCTACATGCTAAGTGAGCACTATACCACTGAGCTCCAACCCCAACCCTGTGTTTGTTTTATTTCCTAAAAATCAAGCTATTTACTTCTCTTTACAAACATCTAACATATTTTTTCAATATATTTTTAAAATTAAATAATTATTAGAATTTCAACTATAAAAAATGAGTATATAAGAAAAAAGTAATGGAAAAAAACATCTCAGGATATGAACGTTGTTGTAGAGTAGCAGAATTTTGGGCAATTATTTTTGGCCTTAATTATTTGCATTAACAATGTTATCAAAGTGAGATTTTTAAAAATTAAAGAAAATATTCTTGACAAGTAATTTCATACCTAGGATTATCTACAAGACCTTTATATAAGACTGGTCAATGTATACAGTGTTTGCAAGAGTGAAAAACTGAAAACAACCTAAATATCCAACAGTAGGGACACAATTAAATAATTATAATACATTTATAACAAAATACTACATGGAGGTTAAAAAGCTATTCATACTGATAAAGAATATAGGTCATACTACATTACTGGGTGAAAAAAATCAAATTACAGAATATATAAAATATGATCTTATCAACTAAAAAAGAAACCTACCCCAAAAACCAAAAAAGATGCTAGGTTGGGGCTGGGGATAAAGCTCAGCAGTATATCACCTGGCTGGCAAGCTCAAGGCCCTGAGTTTTGTTGTGTTTTTTGTGGGGGGGGGGGGGGGTGGGTGGTGTACTGGGGATCAAACTTAGGACCTTGCACTTTCGAGGTAGGTGGCGGAACCACTGAGCTAAATCCCTGGCCCCGCGAGGCCCTGAGTTTGATTCCCAGTACAAAAAAAAAAACCAGAAAAAGTGCTGGGTTTGATGGCACGTGTGCCTGTAATCTCAGCATTTAGGGAAGCTGAAGCAGGAAGATAGCAAGTTTGAGCCCAACTTGGGTAACTTAATGAGATCCAATCTCAAAATAAAGAGTTGGGGATGTAGCTCAGTGTGAAGGCCCTGGGTTCAATCCCCAGTTCTCATGCTACAAAAACAAAATCAGAAAAGAAGGCTTACAATATAGCTCCATGGTAAACAAGCACAAGGCTTTAGGTTTGATCCTTAGCACTATTTAAAAAAATCAGAAAGACTTAATAAGCACGAGATGAAAATGTCAAGTATACTATTGCATACAGACAAATTTTTTTTTCTTTTTTTTTTCACAGACAACTTTTATTAAACATTTTAGCTTGGTTTGTATTTTCCATACACAAGCACTTAGTAAAAAAGGAACAAAAGGCTAGACATGGTGATGCATATCTATAATCCCAGCTCCCAGGAGGAGGCTGAGTCAGGAGAATTGCCATGAGTTTGAAGCTGGCCTGGACTACATTGTGAAACCCTGTCTCAAAAGGAAAAAAAAAAAAGAAAAAGAAAAAAGCAGCTGGGGATTTAGCTCAGTGGTTACGACGCCTGCCTCACAATTGCAAAGTCCTCAGTTCAATCCCCAGTACAAAAAAAAGAAAAAAGAATAAAAGAAAAAAAAGAAGATCCTGGTTGGTAACTTTCTTTCTTTTCTCTTAGTACATTTTGAACACTTTCCCATAGCAAAATAAATAGACTCCTCTCTCTCTAGTGCTGGTGATCAAACTGAGGGCCTTGCACACACTAGGCAAGCACTCTACCACTGAGCTACATCCCCAGCCCTTAATGGCTGCACAGTATTTCACTGAATGGCTATGTCATTGTTTAAAGTTCCCTGTTAGGGCCGGTGATTAAGCTCAGTGGTGCCATGCCTGCCTGGCAAGCACAAGAAAGGAAGGACAGAAGGAAGGAAAGAAGGGAAGAAGGAAGGAAGGAAGGAAGGAAGGCAAGCAGGCAAGCTCCCTATGGATAGGTACTTATGTTGTCCTTAAACACTATGAGATAAAATCTATTTGAAATGGAAATATAAATTCTACATACTGCCATGTATATTATATATGTACCTAATTATGTATAGATATGTCTCTATATATGTGTGTTTACACACACACAGAACCATAGTTATTTCACAATGAGATTAAAGAATTTCATTTACAAGGTTCAAAAAATGAAGACACTAGTTTTTAAAATCAGCAAAGAAGTTGCTTTGAAAAAAAGTATGGGCAGGAAGAAAAAGAAGTAACAACAATAAAATAAAATAATAGTGAGCTGAGAGTAAGATTCGTGGTGCACAACACACCCCGAACAAGGAGACCTGTGCTCACCTGATGCCAAAGACGCAGTGGATGTAGTTCCAGATGGCCCTTCGAAGCACCGAGGTATCCACCCCACTGTGCATGGCGATGGTATTGTAGGTGAGGCTATAGGCTGCCTGGAACTTCTCATCCAGCAGCTGCCCACCCTCAGGGTAGAGCCGCTGGATCAGTGAGTAGCCGTGGTCTTCCCAAGTATAATCCTGAAGAACACAGGAAGAGGTCAGTGAGTGAGATCCTGGAGCCTGAGGCTGACCAGAGACCTAAATTCTCTGGACTTTCGAGCGGGCCCTGTCTTTCCACAATGCTCCCACCCTACACCATGATTTTTTGTTTTGCTTGGTTTGTTTTTTTGAGACAGGGTCTTGTTAAAGAGCCTAGGTTGGACTTAAAACTCACTATCTTCCTGCCTCAGGATTACAGGCACGCTCCACCACACCTGACTCTACACAACAAATATAACACATTGAGCCGAGAAGCCCACAAGTAAGTACTTCAGTGATGACTTTTCCCTATGATCAGGACCACAAGCTTAGGGCATAGATAGGTCCCTTCCAGATCCATGGGGTCCCCAGCACCTTCATGCAGTCTTGAGAGAAGGTACCCTAATCACTCAAACCATCTGTCCTCTGCCTCTATAAATCCAGTCAATAGGGAGAGAGCTCTACCTGGGCACGGAAGGTGGGGGGTGCCTGAGCCCCTCGCCGAGTGAAGTCCTCATATCCGAATGTAGGGTCTTCTACAAAGCATAGCATGTCTGGGTGTGGAGAGGGCTCCAGAATGTCAGCTGAGGATCATGTCAGAAAGAGATCACAGTGAGGGCGAGGCATGGACACACAGGATTCCGCTCCTAATTGATCATCAAATGGGGGGGAGGGGCAGGAGGAGACAGGGGAGAGGCCAGAGAGAGCCCCTTGCTATAGTGGGCAGGAAGAGAACTTCGGCTAGAGTCAAGGCTGGGGAGGAGGTGGATCTGGCCATAGGCCCAGGAGGCAAGGCCCCAGAAGCAGTAATAGTGACAGTCCTATGTCACCCTGGGCCAGGGTCTGTGCTAAATGTTTTACTCATTTACCCTTCATGGCAATCCTGAGGCCCTGAGGCAGGAAGTGACTGTCAGTGGTCACACAGCCAAGAAAGGCTAACAAGGCCTTGGAACCTCTTAGAAGAGAAGTTGAGAGGTGGCTGCTTCTGAAGGCATGACATGTGGAGGTGTCTACTCCCCACAGAAATAGCTAAGAAGGGGACAGTCCCAGGGACCTATACCTGAAGGGGTCACCAGCAGGCTCTCTGACTTCTCCAGCTCAAAGCGGTTCTCCATCTCCTCCTGTGAGGCTCCCTCGTCCCGCAGCAAGCTGTCCTGCAGCTGCCTCATGCGTTCCATCAGAGCTTCCACATCGTGGGCAGCCTCGAAGCCCTGGAGGAGGGACCCAGTGCTCGCCATATACTCCTCCTCCTCCTCTCCCCACAGGAAACTCCACCTCAGCCTTCCCACACACCAGGCCTTCCTGGATGATCATACAGGACCAGGGCAGCCTGTGAACCAACCACTATGATGCACAGCTCACATGGTCTGTGAGCTACAGAAGTGACACGTCTTCTCTTAGATGGACTTCGCTAACAGGTAATGTTTAAATTACTTCTATTTTTTATTTTTCCTATGGTACTAGGGCTTGGACTCAGGACCTTATTCATGCTAGGTAAGCACTCTACCACTGAGCTCTATCCCTAGATCAAAAGTGTCTGATATTTTTATATTAAAAAAACAAGGTCGGGCCTGGGATTTAGCTCAGTGGTTCTGCTGCTTGCCTTGCAAGTGCAAGGACCTGAGTTTGATCTCTGGCACCAAAAAAAAAATAAGGTCATTTCTATTTTTTTTTTTTTTTTGGTACCGGGGATCGAACTTGGG